GCCACCTCCTCTCGTTTTCCCGGAGTTGTTATTCCTGTCCATGCGAACATTAGAGAAGCCCTTCACATCAACAAGGGAATCCGGGAAATCACCTTGAAGCCAGCTCTCTGAATAAATGAGGAGACACGACTCGCGATATTCATTACAAACTCTTAAATTCAGACACAGCTCATCCATCTTATTCCTCAGTGAACAAGCATTGCTAAAGAGTATTGATGGCAGCGGTAACTTGAGATATTTTCGACAAAGTCGATGTTGAACGCCGCCTCTTCTCCCTCGTTTTCATGGCTGACGACGATGATCCCCAACCCCATGTCGCTGCAACAAATCCTCTAGAACACCATCCAGCAGGCCCGGCTCCATTACCACAGGTTTCCGTAGAGACAGCAACCATTCCCTGCTGCAGACCCGCAACACCTGATCCTGTCCACCCGATGCGGTGACGTCGGCTACATCGTGCGGCATAAAAACACTCGATGTAATCAGCGCAAGCAACAGCAATACTTCGACGATCTTCTTCCCCTCATTATTTATTTTCATTATACTTCAATACATGCACAACAAACCTAAACATAGAACTTAACACATAAACTCAACAAAGAAAAACACAAACTTTCCGCTCTCTCGTGCCCGAGTTGTAGCTGCGCCGTGCCACCGGAAGTTCGATGTAATGTAATATAAAGTGCATGTAATGTGGTGTTTGGGTTTTGTTTCTTGTTCATTGTTTTCATGTCTTTTATTTTGTAGTTAGGTCTTAGTCATGTTCTGTCATGTGAGTCCCTTGTCTGTGTGTTATGTTCTGATTGGTTGTTTTAGTCATGTGTCTTGTGCTTATTGGTTTATGGTCTTGTCATGTGGTTCTCAGTTCTGTTTGTCCATTGGTTGGTTTGTGTCATGTGACACTTCTTGTTTGGTACTAATAGCCCTCATGTTCCCATTGTTCTTTGTCGTGTATTGAAGTTGTAACCCGCTGTCGGTGAGTCTAGTCTGTTTATGCCTCATCAAGTCTGTTCATGCATCGTCAAGTCAAGTCAAGTCAAGCCTGTGTCTCTAGTCTTCATTTATTGTTTGGATGTTTGGATCACGTCTGTAAATAAACTGCACATGGGTTCTTCACTACTCTCGCCTTCAGTGGACTAAATCATTACAGTGCAGAACTAGATCATAGCTACAACAGGATGTCAGATATTGAGTGTAGGCTCGCCCTACTAATACACCAGGATAAGGACCCTTTTTATTTAGCGTTTTAAGCAGGAGTATGCTTTGAAATAAAATAAGTAAAATAAATATTTCGATTTTCTTAAAGATTAAAAATAAATAAGGAATTACCTGTTCCGCGTTTGACGTGAGAGATGCATCTGCATTGTGACAAACACACAGTTGCCGTCGCATCTGTTTACAACAAATGAAATATTTCTATTTATTTTTAAAACATACAGAAAGACTTTGGCAAAATGTTTAATCGCATTGGATGGTGTCGAGTCCGCCGGCCGCACCGTTCTCAAGTCCGCCCACCGCTGCTCACTCAAGCTGGCCTCCGCTCACTCTAGGCCTCCACTCTAGCCCGTCGTGTGTTTCGTTGTGAAAGCGAAACTACTTTGTTTGGCCTTCCAAAAGAGGACACAACTAGAAATCAGTGGTTAAGTTGTATTTACAAGACTGTTCCAGAACAGTTCAAACCAAATATTCAAATGTGTGCGGTACATTTTAGTGAGGACTGTTTCCTGATCCTGGTAGAGTAGACTACAATGCCGGCTGTTCTGACTCACAGTCTGTAAGTACGTTTTTTGATCCTGGTAGAGTAGACTACAATGCCGGCTGTTCTGACTCACAGACTGTAAGTACGTTTTTTATATTTAAAGAATTTGCCACTGACGATTCAAACGCGAGTTTTGAGCAGTGTAGAGTAGCACTTGTTGTTTGTCATTTCTCCGATCACAAATGGATGGGGTTTTCACAAGAAGTTAAGTAAAATATTTTATTTAAAGCTTTAAAGATTTAATCTAAACGATCTTTTAATTTTAAAAAGATCTTATTTAAACTCTCAAGACTATGCTTTTAAAGTCATCTTCACTATTGTGCCGTATATTCGAGTGAAACGATTTCTGGAATGTAGGGCGGGATTTCACCCTTGACCTGGAGTTTGATTGACAGGCGATCTGACCAGTCATAATGCCGAATTAGCCATTTTGACTGACAAACAACCCAAATAGGAGAGTTAGAGTAACGTCAGCGGACTATGGTGTATGGGCGGCTTTCTGCAGTTGAGAGAACATAACTCTAATGTTCATTCATGTTTATTTCATGCTATAACTAGTAGTAAAGAGGAAGATATGATCGGTTCATGTGTCACTTAACACTGACAATGCGCTGATAGACAAGACAGAGCAGGTTACTTTTCGTGTAAACCAAAGTCTCAGCTTTCTAAATTTTCATTTTTTAAAGAAATTCAAACAGTAAATATTTTGTGGCTCTTTAATATGATAGATCGCTGTAGTACCACAGTTCAAGCGGTTAAAATGTGAATTGATCATGTAGCGTCTGCGTAAAATCATGGATGGTCTTTGGGGTTTATGGCTTAAGAGACCCCTTTTAACCTTTGACATTTGCATATAAATTACATTCCTGGCAGCAAGCCACATTTATATGCATGCTAAATTGCCAATGGTTCCTCTCACTATCAAGGAGATGTTGAACTGTTCAATGCTCTCAAACAGCACACAACGAACATTCCTTTTGCCAACAAGCGCACACGATTCCCTTTGAAGCCCTGCCCATCAACTATGGTGACTGCCAAGGGCACCTGTGCCCTGAACTTGAGGTGGAATGACAGGTGTCTAACCCATTACTTCCTGGTCCTTCCAGACACACCGCATGATGTCTACATCGGAGCGGACATTCTGATTCGCCTCAGGGCTCACGTGAACATGATCAATGAAGTGATATGGGCTCCAATGACCTCACAGTCACCCACGGTTCCTGTCAACCTTGAGAACCTCCTGTCAGGCCAAACCATCCCCGAGGCCTGCACGCTAATCAATGAAAAATAGACTGTAGTACCAGCTTACACCAAAGGGGTCGCTGTTTGACTCAATCTGCAAAGCGGCCAAGCTCTTAGCCACACCCTAGGCTTCTTCCAACCTTCACCCGAATGTGGGGAACTGGGCCTCACTTTGGAAGCCACACCCCTCGTTGAAGTGATGTCTCGGGCAGTCTACATCTTGTTCAATAACTTCACGGCAACGGATGTCAGAGTGCCTAAGGCATACTGTCTGGGTTGGCTAGTGAGTTATGAAATTTAATTAAAATCTACCAATAATTGGACACATCTCAGATTCAATGATTCCAGAAGGAAGCTCGGGCCACACAGTGTCAACAGCACCCTTCAAGATCATCACCATAACCTCAGTCATGCCAGTGGTCAAGGAGCAGGTGTGTAGAACAGAGCTAACAGAAGACCAACACTTTGCCGTGTACACAGTCTCTAACCCCTCCACCTGCATGAATGACAGCGTGACTGCACCTCTGACTGCCCACGGCACAGAGGAATTAATGACAGAAGAGCCATACCCAGGTTTTGAGACACAAGTCCAGCAAATTCTGAAAGATACTGATGCCATACAGGAGGATGCAGACCACCACAAACTCCATCAAGTCCTGTACAAATACAAGGAATCATTTGCCAAGGACTCTTTAGATTGTGGCCTCACTAACCTCCATGCTGTGCGTGTCCCAACGCACCCAAAAGCTCCACCCACTTGTGTCAAGCAATACAAGATCCCCCTTGAATCGTACGAACCCGTACAGGAGATCATCAACTCTATGCTTGAGAAGGGTGTCATTCGCCCGTGTAACAGTGCCTACTCTGCCCCCATCTGGCCTGTCCTCAAATCAAACTGCAAGTGCTGGCCAACCATCGTTGAGCCAAAACCCAGCCGCATCCAGGCCATTCAGAATATTAAACCACCTGCCAATGTCTCAGAACTCCAAAGTTTTCTAGGCGTGTGTAACTATTCAAGGCAGTTAATTGAGAACTATTCGGACATAGCACGCCCTCTCACTGCCCTTCTGAAAAAGGACTGCCCCTTCATCTGGACGGACGATCAGCAAAATGCCATGAATGAGCTGAAACGACATCTGTGCATTGCTCCATGTCTGGCTTACCCATAGGTTCGGGCTGCCGCTGAGAGTCAACTCAGACAGAGGCATCCATTTCACAGCTGAGATCATGCAGCAGGTTTGGAAACTCCTGGGAGTACAAGCACAACTGCACATCAGTCACAATCCAATTTCTTCGGGCCAAGTGGAACGGACGAATCAGACGGTGGTCAGCATGCTAAGAAAATATGTGTCTGCTAACCAAAAGGACTGGGATGCGAAACTGCCCCTGGTGCTCATGGCTATCAGAGCAACTCCACAAGAGTCAACAGGTGTGCCTCCCTTCGAACTAATGACAGGCCGGCAAATGACATTGCCCTTGCACCTGCTGTACCAGCCAGGAGACTCCAACCTTGTCACCGCCTACACCACTCATCAATACCTTGATGAACTACACCGGCATTTGAGAACCACATTTGCTTTTGTCCAGCAACGACTCCAAAAGAGCGCGGAAGGCCAGAAAGCATACTACGACTGGAAGGCGTCACACAAAGAACTGGATGAGGGCAACAGGGTCTGGTACTACAGCTACGCACAGCCTCCTCAGACAACCTCTCATCGGCTATCAAAGAAGTTTCTGCCACACTGGACAGGACCGCATGAGATTGTGGACAAACTCTCCCCTGTCGCATATCGGATCAAGCTGAGTCGGGGACAGAAAGAACCAGTTTTCAAATGGGTCCATCGTAACCAGATCAAGAGACATGTGGCTGCTGGCAGGGAAAGACGGGGGGGGCTAGTGCTAACTAGGCCCTGCAGTAGTCCTCAAAATGAAAGACTGTCCTAACCAGTCTAAGCATCTCCACCACTGATCCATTGTCTTTCTTCTTCTCTGTATCAGGATGTTGCTGTGGCTCACCATCCTGTGCCTCCAGCCAAACAGAGGACAGTCGCAACCCGATATCACATCACCAGGTCCAGCATCAGGCATTGCACTGAGGGACCAACCTGGACTTCTTGTGACCAACTGTAGGACTCACACCCAAAAGGCATACGTCCGACTCGAGCCCCGAAATGTCTACCAGACACATTATCCCCAGGCAGCTGCACACTACAGTTGGGCAGGTGCCCAATGGACTGAGAATACCCTCGCTCACGCAGAAGCCGATATCAAACACATGCTCTCTCAGTTGCAGAAAATGACTGTCACTCAAGCAGAGCTAAGCGGACATAACAGGCGTGACAAACGATTCCTAGGGGCCTTGCTCGGAGCTGCTGCTGCTGTTGGAACCCTGTTCAACCTGGGAGTGACCAGTGTCAACTCCGTGAGCCTATCTACCCTGAGGCAACATGTAAGGGAGATCCAGACTGAGATGCCCCAGCTGAGAGAACAACTCACACTACAGGGCCAAACCCTACAGACTACAGGCAAATCATTGAAGGGCACCCTGGTGGTTCTGAACACCCACAGTGTCCTGCTGAACCAAACTGTGAACTCCGTGAAACAGTTATTCTCTGTTATACAGAATGATGTTGCCCAAACTCAGCTGGTCACCGCACTGCTGTCTGACATGCTCCGTGAGGTGAGCTCCTCCATCGACAGCCTAGCCATGGGTAGAATTCCTCCGTATCTGGTGCCCCTGAGCCTAGTACAAACAGTGTTATCCTCTGTTACTACCCGTCCAGCTGACCCTCTTCAAGCCCACCTTGCCTACTCCCTGGGAGGGTCCATACTGCTACATGTCGACCCCGAGCAGAGTGAGATGGCGTTTCTTCTGAATCTACCCATCATTGAATCCGACAACATTTACAGACTCAAAGACATTGTCAATGTTGGATTTTGGCAAGGAAACACTCACATCAGAATACACACACCAGATATGGTAGCCTACCACGACAATAACCCACAGTTATACCTGGCCCCAAACCTGCGTATGTGTACCCTGACCAAAGACATTCATTATCTCTGCCCCAACAAGCCCTTCCTTCGAGACAACACTGAAGGAATACTGTCTTAACCAGTCCAAGCATCTCGACCAAAGACATTCATTATCTCTGCCCCAGCAAGCCCTTCCTCCGAGACAACACTGAAGGAATCTGAGGGTTACAACCCATGCACAGAGAGACACTCTGCCCTGCTGAGGCCAAGCCTCGCACACAAGTCACAGAAACGCAAACAGAGATTGTGGGAAATCAGTGGCTCGTCAACACGCCCATCCGTACCACCACACTGACCTATGTCCAGCATGACACTGCCACCCGTGTCAGCCTGCCCAACCAGAGTATGTGGATTCAAGTGCCCAAAGGTGCCATCCTCCACCTCGGTGACCTGGCGCTGTACCACCTTCCAAGTGAAGAGTACCAATCCGAGGTAGAAATGCCAGCCTTCTTCAGGGACCACAACCTCACCCTGGAACCTGAATTGGAACTGAGCATTGAGAAAGGGGGCTCCAAGACGATTGACATCACCCCAATCGACACAGCCCTCCAAGCACTGTCTCGGCTGCCTGTCTAGAACACCTTTCCTGTCGCTCGATCCTGGACCTCTGTTGACACAGCACTTTGCCTTGCCACAGCAATCGGGTACACCCTAACTCTCGGCCTTGCCTTTGTCCTGTTTAACAGAGTCAACAGGGTGCAAAGGTCCATGAACAGGTGCACAGCTGCCCTTCCTCGAACCTTCAAATGGAGCCATCGGTTTTTATCTTCAAGTAACTTTGCCGATTACCTGTGGACTTTCCTATCTTCAGAAGAACCAGAAGAAAACCTCCAGCTCACTCCTAAAGAACTCATCAAGAACCTCCGTGCCTACCGCATCAAGACTCTTGTTCAGCAACAAAGCCAATGCAAGTAACCCTTTACAACTATTTAGATGCGTGTTTAAGTTTGAGCCCCTTTTTAAGGTGATTTTTGATTCTCTGATGATTCTCATTAGGTTGTGGTTAATTGATGTGAAATACTGCCATTCTTTTACTTTTCTCTCTCTCTTCCTTACTATCCTTCATTCTGTATATATGTGTTGTGCTTAGATTAGTTATATGTTAGATATAGTTTCATATATTAAATCCCTTATATTCACAACTGATTGTCTCTGTGCGTTGCTCACAATTCAAAGTCACTGAATGTTTGATCCCTTGCTCCATGCTAAATTACTGTTAGCACTGCATAAAGAAGGAAAGCTACTTTCCTTGGCCAGGAAAATAATCTTTCCTTGAATTGATAAATGATTATATTGTCTGCTCGGTGGACGGACAGATCAAATAATTGTAATATTGATTCTGCTACAGTTAATTCTAAGATCTAATCTATTGTCTGCTCAGTGGACGGACAGATCAAATAATTGTAATATTGATTCTGCTACAGTTAATTCTAAAATCTAATCTAAATATTTATTATTAATCACAACCAGTTATAATTAGTCATAAATATTTCCCTTTTGAGCTGATTTACTACAATCACTTCCTGCTAGTTATAGCTTGAAATACACATGAATGAACATCAGAAGGTATGTTGTCTCAACCGTGGAAAGATGTCAATACACCATTTTCATGTTCAACTCTACTGACTTAAATCTCTTAACTTTCCTGTCTGGTTTGTTCGTCAGACAAAATGGTGGATTCAGCCAGGGCCGGAGTGGGACTCATTTTCAGCCCTGGAGTTTCATGCCTTAGACCGGCCCACTTATTTTATTTATTTCTTTTTTTTTTTTACTGGCCTTTTCAGTACCGCCTTCACGCTTTCTATTATCCAGTTTTCATCTATTATTTTTTGCTTGCATATCTCCAACAACTTAGTTTTTTTTTTTTTGTTTGCTTGTTTGTTTTTTTAAGTAAGGTGCCGCTGTCAGGGGAGTCAAAAGAAAATTACGTCATCATTAGGGTTGCCAATTAACTTCAGAAATGGAAAATAACGTCTATGAAATGTCAGTCAATAAAGCATTTTAAACAATGGCATTTAAAGTTTTGAACTAAAAAATCATTGCAACCATATAGCCTTTGAATGAATGAAAATGCATATTTTTCAATTAAAGAAAACTTAGAGAGTGTGGGCTGCTTCTGGTGCTTGGATTTGTACAAATACATTGTATGGGTCAAAATTATAGATTTTTGTTTTATGCCAAAAATCATTAGGATATTAAATAAAGATCATGTTCTATGAAGATATTATGTAAATTTTCTACCGTAAATATATCAAAACTAAATTTTTTATTACTAATATTAATTGCTAAGGACTTCATTTGGACAACTTTAAAGGTGATTTTCTCAATATTTTTTATTTTTTTGCACCCTCAGATTCCAGATTTTCAAATAGTTGTATTTCGGCCAAATATTGCCCTATCCTAACAAACCATACATCAATGAAAAGCTTATTTATTCAGCTTTCAAAAAAAAAATATATTAATTGCTAAGGACTTCATTTGGACAACTTTAAAGGTGATTTTCTCAATATTTTTTATTTTTTTGCACCCTCAGATTCCAGATTTTCAAATAGTTGTATCTCAACCAAATATTGTCCGAACCTAACAAACCATACATCAATGGAAAGCTTATTTATTCAGATATGTATAAACCTCAATTTTGAAAAATTGACACTTAAGACTGGTTTTGTGGTTGAGGGTCACATATAGCCTTTGAATTAATGAAAATGCATATTTTTAAATTAAAGGGGTCATATGATGCGATTTAAAATTTTACTTTCTCTTTGGAGTTTTACAAGCTCTTGGTGCATAAAGAAGATCTGTAAAGTTGCAATGACTAAAGTCTCAAAT